ACTTGTAAATTAATGAATTTAAGACAAAGATATCAATTCGGGAAAGTTATTATTATTTGCACCAAAAAGAGAATATTAATACAATGAAAAGGTATATAATATGTCGATTTTCGCTATTGGACAACTACGGATTATTTACGCCATAACAATGAAATAACCGTTAACTTTCGTCGGCTTCTATTATGTGAATAGATGAAAGGACACCCTTTACAATAACAAGGTCTGGACCGCGAGATTGGTAATCGCTCTATTTACTGGCCGCACCGTTGTGTTATGTTACGTGTCCATGAATTTCGTACGCCTCTTTAGAGACACACCTAAAAACCAGCTCCTTCATTTTCGTTGCAGGATATACCTATCTCGGATCCTCGCTCGTTGTAGAACCATCCGTAGCCAGCGCAGCAAAAAAACGGTAAGTTACAAAAATTTTGTCATTAAATTGTGAAAGCATGGTTTTTAGATAGTTTGAGAGAGAGAAAGAAAGAAAAATCTGTCTAAATATATAATTTTTATTAAAAAAAAAAAGCTAAACATCAATTTTCATAAATTCAAGATATTTCCGCGATTTCTGTACATGGAAACTATCCAAAAGAAGAAAAAAAATAAATTTTAATTATTCTTTTCTAAATTTGGTTTCTCAAAATTTATAAACATTCGTATGTAAAATTATTTTAATAATTATAGAATTGTCACAGTCAGTATAACAAATTCTTACGTTTGTAATGTAACAGCGATTGTAATTAATAGTAATTAAGTGTAAAGAAATTCAAATCTTATTTAATTTTTCATATATCACAAACTGAATTAATATTATTCTATTTTTTAAATATTTTATTTGATCTGTTGAAAATGTTAGGTCTTTGTAGCGAATACCGGTGGCATGATCATGAAAAATTCTGATTGCGTGTGATCGCATGATTTAATGTATCATCGTTTAAAAACGCTTGATAAAATATATCTTGTGTCACATGTCCGCGTTACAGACCCTCAGTCATATTAATAAAGTCGTTGCAAAAAAAAAGCATTGCCGCTGCACTGTAACCTTAACTGATCGTCATAAATTTGTGGCACGGACTCCGTGATCCCATCGCGATTTTTTATTTATTAAAACTGCGATCGATATCGAAAGTTATCAAAATTATTGAGCCATTATTTTTAGGCGACTACCGACCGAGCGTTTCTTGCTAATACGCAGATCAATCGCGTACATATCTCATACTTATTTAATTTCTCTCTTGTCTCCTCGCTCTCTTCTTCTTTCTCTTTCTCTCGTTCTACACCGCGCTCGCGAGTGCGGAACTTCAAGAGGTTCGTTAACCCGTGCCCGGTTGCACGCAGGCGATCGCAGAAGAGATCGGGCCGCGCGTAATACCGCGCGTAACAAGGTGCGTAATTGGCCGCACGCGAGTAAATGCGCGCGTGCGCGCATGCACAAGAGTTTGAGTTCGAACTCGTGCTCGAACGTGCTCGGGCAAAAATCGCCGTGGATTAAATCGTATCGTCACAGTGGAACTCATTCCGAAATTTATAGAGAGCAAAACGCGTTTCGAAATTTATAGAGGGGGATTTGTATACTCGATTCTTTATTTAGAGCTTGTTGAAGCTAATTAGTAAAAAGAGAAAGGACACCCCTTTATTAGATTTATCCTGTTTGCTTCATATACAATATTATCCGATTTATAATTCTTTTTCTGGGATTTATTGAAGTTAGTTAATAGAAAGGGAAAAGATATTCGATTGTTGAATTTATTCCGTTTATTATGTGCGTTAAACTGTCCATTTATATCGCTTGTTTTTTTTTTTTAATGTTTTAATAGTCTCTTTTAATAGTTTGTCAATTGACTGTAATTAAAAAATGACCTTGAAGAAAGTGTATCAAAATTCATTAACACGATTGTATGTTTAGGAATTTAGTTTCAGTTTTTTTAAATAATCTGTAAAAGAGATCTGTATTCTTTATTAAAATGTAATTTAAAAATACTCATATTGAACACGCGCGATTAAAATATTTTTTGTTACGCCACGTACTAAACCTTGAAAATCTTCCTGTAAGAGATTGTGCGAATTATCGTATCCGTTTCACTTTAAATCTACGATTCTTATCGTGTTAATTTAGATGTGGATAAGAGACGTTAAATCGTGTTTATTGCGGATTGTATCATAAATCATCGAGATCTATCAGAATGCGTATTAAAATACGTATTAAATGTGTGAGGAATATCACTTTGAATAGAGATAGAAGATGCAGTTCAATGCTGTCAGCATCCGCAGTGGTTTAAGAAAAATAATCTCACTAAAGAGATTAGAAATTCCAAGAAAGATTTTATCGATTTATGCTCCTTTCCATCAATGTAGATTAATTTTTATCTCGGTTTAACTTACTGTTTATCTTTTTTTTTTAATTCTAAAATTAGAAAGAGATAAAGAGTAAAAGGATAAAGAGTAAAATCAACTGAGATTAAAGTTAATCTTATTTTTTATGAAACCGGGTATATTAATTGTTGAGTTGACTATTATATTTGGATAGTTACACTAGTGCTGTAGCATTGCTCTAAACTGTTGATAGCATTGTGTGTTCGTGTTGAATCGTGCATGAAATATACTTAGAATACTATTTACACTCTCCACTATTCTCTTCACATGCTCACGTATACATGGATCGATGGTACGTATCTACATTATAAATAGCAGCAACGGTTTCAACGTATGTTGACGATAACGAAGCGCCAAGAGCCATGATACCATCATCAATTCGATATCATAAAGCGGTCGGCACTTTTGTCTACCATAAATCGTGAATTTTCATAAATTCCTCGCACAATAGATTGCTTATTTGACAAGCCAATAAGATAATCAGATATAACTCGCTATTTATCACTAAATATCTCGTGCATTATTATTAACGTAAATAACATAATAATAAATATCCTCTAATAAATCTATATTAAAAGATAAAGCTCTTCTATTATGGTGACACTAGCAATCGATATTGTCGTAATTTATTTCTGCTCTTTTAAGTATATTAAAAAGATATTGAATTCAATCAGGAAACTATTTATGTATTTATGTATTTATGTAAATACTTTGTCCATTTTTATCGTATTGCGCAAGCCAAGTAATACAATAAATATTATATTCAATTTCTCAAACATTTCCAAAATGTTTGGCCGTAGTCATATGGAAGAAACAGTTTACAAAAAAAATCTAGGTCATACTTTTTTCAATAAACAAAAGAATTAATCTAAATAAATACTCAACGCGACGCATTTTTGCGAGGCACAGTTTGGGAGTCTCTACACAACATCGCGGAGGCAGTGTTCTCTTTCTCAACGATGAGGCAAGCAATTCGAAAAAAAATGTAGCACCTGCCACTCCTGCTCACGAGCTACGAGCTGAGAGAATTCATGTCAGACTGTTCGCTCGCTCGCTCGTGCCATAACTGCAATCTGTTATTTTTCCATCCCCCGAGCCCGCTTTTCGTTTCTCATTCTTCCTTTCATCCCTTGTGCATCGATATCGACCACCGTCACTTTCTCTTTTTTTTTCTTCGCCAGTGAGCAGCTTACAGCAGCCTTATCGATGCCTCGGGAACGTGCCGTCGCATACGGAGAATTTGTCATTCAACCAAATCAATACTCGACCGAAGAGATAACGCTAATTAAAAAACGTTTTAATAAACGTATGACTATTTTATCGAATACAAAAGATAACGTATACGTGGCAGAGATACAACTTTTCTGATATGTATAAAAGTACACATTGACTTACTGATAAATTCCAAAAAGCATTTGTCTCCTATTTTTCTTTTTGTTTTCTTTTAATTTAAAGAAAATGGAAAAAATATATATTACAATAGTTTATTATAGATATGATTTACCATTACCATCAGATTTAATTACAATGGAATAGTCGACATGGAATTCTTTTCGATAAACAATAATATATTGTACGTTAAGTAGAATAAGCTGATTTAATAATAAATTTATATTGAAAAAGACTCTGTGAGTCGAAACGTCTATAGATTATTGTTACCTTAGTATTAAACAATAATTCATTATCAAACATTTTTGTATGCTCGTTTATTTGGCTCGTATTTGTAATTAAAAAGTTTATTATGTTTTTAGAAAATGTATTAATTAAATAAGATGAAAATTTACCTTGAGATATATTAAATTCTAACAGAATTTCTTAATTGAACTTTGAAAATAACATTTTTACAATTGAAGAAGAAAAAGAATGGAGCTTTTATTTCAAATTATTAAAAAATTCACAGAGAGATTCACAGAAATAAACACGAAAACTCAAAAAAACATGAAAAACTCAATTAAAACGAAATACGATTGCACTCCATCTTTTTCATTTGATGATTACCAGTTTGAATGATCCTTTCAAGTAACAATTATCATAAATATATATACGAGTGTAAATTAAATTCTAGTATTGCTATTATAATACTGCTCGAATTTTAATATGAAAAGCCCAGATAACACAACGATCTTCGCACGATCTTTTCGCGATCGTTATTACTACACGCCGTGGGAGATCGTTATTCAAGGATGGACGAACGGATGCCAGGCGAGGCGAGGGAAGAGTAGAAGTTTATTATACTCTATAGAAAGGGACGGAGACAGGGAAACGGGTATCACTTCCGAGTTGTCTTCTGCAATAGGTCGAAGACGCGGCTTCCAGCGGCGAGCTCGCTCGCCGTTTTTTGATGTTTAGGAGCCGATGCATGGCTAAACATTCATTTCCATATAAGCCGATATGTTTCAAATGTAAAGCGACGTTCGCGCACACTGGAGAGGAAAAAGAAAGAACGAGGGATGGAGGGAGGGTTAGAGGGGGTGAAAAGGAGAGAGGAGGAAGAAGCGTGGAAGCGGCGAACTGGTACGAGCGGAAACTAGTTTAAGCCCGCGGGTTGTCTCTCAACCCTCGGTCGAGTCTTCGACAATGCCTTCCATGGGATCCACCGTGCTCCCAATTCCGTCCACTTTAACTGCCTCTGCCCCGCCATCGATGCTCGCTCTCTCTTTCTCTCTCTCTCTCTCTCTCTCTCTCTCTCTCTCTCTCCCCCCTCTCTTTCTCTCTCTCTTTCTCCCCTTTACGCCCGTAAGTAGCCCCCGCGAGTGTGAGAACCGACCGGAAAATGCCTAACCCCGAAAATACGCGCATACAACCTAGCCTTTGGTTTGCTTTTAATTTCTTTGCGTGTAAATTTAACTAAAAACGATTTTTTTAATGTTAACAAACTACTTGCATTCGAAGAATTTGATGTAATACTTATATAATGACTTAGAAAAATGATTAGATGATAGAAAATTATATTAGACGATGATAGACGATAAGAAGATCATAATAAAAATGTGGTCATTTATTTGAGGGATACTTTAGCTATTTTTTATCGAACATGAGCTATATATATATATATCACGATTCTTTTTTCCATAATTTTAACTTTGAGACATTAAAGTTTTAGATTTAAATATTTACAAAAATATTATAGTATCCAGTCAGAAGTTGATGAGAACTCGGATTGTAATAATAAAATTAATGAAATTTTATTGTCAGCAAAACTTTCTCTCATTGTATATCGAACATATTGATTTATTCAGAAGATTTCTTTTTATTAATATGCTTACGATAAAATTTGCAAACAACGAGACATCGAATACACGTTTCCTTTCCTTCTATTTTCAAGCCTTAAAGAGTCCCGAAATTTGTGTGTCCAAGAAAGTTCTCAGAAACGTATGTCGCCAGACACATTTGCGGCCTGTTGACACGTACACATTGTTGACAACCACACGTTGCGATTCTTCAATTCGGCACGTGGAATCATTCGCAGGTATCATTTGCGCATATGTCGGACGAAAGTGTAACCGCAAAGACTCACCTCCGTGCATTGGCCGCGAGAAAGCACGTTCCACTTTGCGGTGCATCTGTGCACGTGCAATACGCATTATTCTGTTTTTGCGTGCGATACTCATTCACCGCATCAGACAGGGGAATTACGTACCGGTCGGAATTACGTACGAGTCGACAGCTTGAAAACATGTAACGAAATTATTAGTCAACGCCAGACAGACTTATTCCGTTCCTTTACAGTTTTCCCTCATTTATTAAAATTAATTTTGTTATCCCATTTTTTTTTAAATAACTTTTATAAAAAAGAGCTTATTCAATTAATCTTCTAACAATAAAATTATGTACAGTATGAATGAAAAAAGTAATTGAATTTTTTTTTTTCTTACTCGAAACAATTGTAGACCAAGCAGAAAGAGATAGAGTTACTTTTATTCTGTTAAAAGTTACTTGAGTATTAAAACAGAATTCTTGTCAGAGTATATTATTCTCATTTGCAAGTTGACCCCAAGAAAGACCCAAGTGAGATGTTTTTCACTCCCTTCTCTGTTGCATATGCCATATTATTTGATCATATCTTTAAAATATATTGAACAGTAATGTGTTTTAAAATTAGCTTAAAATCATTTCCAAAATTTCTAAGAATGATGCTGCGTTATTGTCCTCGCAGATCTGATTGATTAACGACATAAAACAACATAAAAAAATAACATTAGTAGTACACAATGACGATGTTTCGTGATATATCTTCATTTAATGTTAATCAATTCCGTGCGTGTTGACATTTCATCTCGGACGACAAGTGCACTACTCGTTGACCCCAGGAAACATTGCATCTAACGCTTTTAAAAGAGTCATTCGAGCATATACCGGTCGTCAACATGATGACCGAAAGCATGAAAGCATGTGTACGTCGCTTGCATTTCCGCATAACTTCGCACGCGTGCGTACGAATGCACTTTTCTCATTTACATGACAAGGCCGCTGCACCTCGCGGCGTATGAGGTCGACGCAGGTTGTTGCACAATATACATGTATATACATACACCAGGAGGGAGAAAAGGGGTAGCAGCCCCCCTGCGGTCGGTGCAGTCTGGTAAGCAGTCCGAATGCACTTTGCACGATGCACCCCGGGCACTCGAAGCCATGCACGACGCACGTCATTCGCCGAGCGAATCTCTCTCCACCTCCTGTCATAAATTCGACCGCGAACACGTTCGCGAGATAAAAAGGGTGAAGGGGGGGCACACATCTTCTCGTCTCGAGGCGCATCTCTCGCCCTCTTTACGGTGCATCTCGGTCGATTTCTCTTGTTCTTTTTATCCTTCCTTTTCACCCTTTTCTATCTCTCTTTCTCTCTTTCTTTCTCCCTCTTCAGTCTTCCTCACATGAATCGTTGCACTCGGCGCGTGCCGATCTCGTGCCCTCTTCGCCTGCTGTATTCCCCTCCTCCGCCATGCATTTAATTCCATCGCTTCTTTCGTCCTTCTCCACCCCTTTCTTCGACCCACCCCAACTCCTCACTGGCTGGCTCCGAGCGACCGAAGTGCATCCTGCATGCACTTGTTGCGCTGATGCACACACCCGGCTCTATTACCAATCTTTCTTTTTTTGCCGAGTGCAAGTTTCTTAACTTCTTCGATGCTTCTAATTTCGCCACCGCTCCCCTTATCTTTCTTCGTGCGGTTTTTAATTATTTTAGCAATATGTCTTCATTTATCTTTCCTTTTACTTTTAAGGCCTCCACATCATAAATACATCGCAAAATTGTTGCTGCTTTTTTTTTTATCATCTATTGTACAGCAAGTAAAAAAAAGGAATTTTTATTAATAACGTGCTTTATTGTGTTACGCATCACTCAATATACATATACATATTTTTATTTATCGATTAGTTATATAATCAGAAAGAAGAAAAAAGATTTTTAATTAGGTAATAAGCCAAATGTTATAAACACGTTCTATTTAATTTTTAATGTAAGTAAAGAAGAGAAATAGCGGCTCAGTATTATTTATAAATATAATATATAATTTTTAATTAATCGACGCGATCTCTTAGCGAATAAAATATTTCTGAAGAGATGGAGATCACGATTTAATAATACTTCTAAATTTCACTTACACCATCTTATTATCTTCCTTCTTTCATAAAAGAAGATAAGTTTTTCTTCTTTGGCTTGCCCTCCTCAAATTCACGCAAGGAGCAATGGCGGCGCCTTGTCACGTTAAAGCGAAAGTAAAACGATACGTACGGTCCCGCCCGGTAGGATCTCTTCTTCCGACGTGTTTGTTCAAGGTATATCTTTCTACGAGCCTCGAGGGACGACGTCCGGATGAGAGGAGGAGCTCTCTCGATAGGCGAGAGGGCCCCGTACGTGCAGCTGCGTCCACACGCATGCCGTTAGCACGCGCTTATCTCGTTGCACTTTCATAAACAAGGCATCGTCCGTCGACGCTTAACGAATCGTCTATTATGCGCGTAATTAATCAGAATCGTAATTCAAATTGACCACTCGTGAAAAATGCATATGCAAACGCGACACTTCGATTTATAGAATAATAAAAATAAAGTGTATATTTTACCTTCATTAGTATAAGTTGAGTATCGCGTTTGCATATGCATTTTTCACGATTTTGAATAAATGTCACTTTTCTGTCAAATGCTATTGTGTTAAATAATAAGTATATCTGATAAACGTTAATATTTTTTAAATTGTTAAAATATAAACTTTTAATTGGGAAATTTTTTATTTATTTAATTTTATTAATATTTACTTCTCTGTAATTAAGAGCAATTTCCATATTGACTAAATCATCTAATTTTAATGAAAGCAATTTTTTTTTAATATTACACAGACTTCGGATTACTCGTGATAGTACAGAAAGAAAACTTTTGCTGAAATATTTATCTAAAAATTTGATACAGATTTTAAAAATTTTAGAAAAAGATATATATATAACATGTGTGGAGAATTTTATTGGACCAAACTAATTATACGTAAAGGCATTCAAATTGATTATTAGAATGTTAAACTTTCTGTACTTGAAACTTTTACGTAATTATTTTAATTGTCCAACAATTATTTTGATGATTTAACAAAATTATTTTTAATCTGTATGTAGTTAAAAAAAATTTTTTATTATAGATACTATATTTCAAAAACAAAACCGTTTATTTCATAAAATATAAAATGTATGCACCGACGTGGAAACACCTTTAAACTTTATGTACGTAATACCGGCAGTTTCGATCCGAATTATCGATCGAATGCTTCAGGGTACAACGCAATTTGTGCTCTTAAGTAATACGCGATCGACGAAAATGCGATTATCGCTGTTGAGACCTCAAGTAGGCGTGAAGCGAGGTCTCGTCGTTTAATAATTCTTTCGCCCCAACGATAACGAACTTGGCGTAGAGGTTGCGATTTTTCATTAATAGTCGAATTAAAATGTAAACGATGCATCGAAATTCTGTGCAAATCCTTATAAAAAGAATGAAATAAATTTTCAATTTATCATAAAATTTAATCTAAATATTCGAGCGAATTAAAATTGCATATAAACAAATTTCATGATTTTATTAAATTGGATTATTACACAAAAATTTTTTTTATATATTATCAAATATTTAAATTAAAATATTTCGATAATATTTTATGTAATACAAATATTATCGATATTATTATTCATAAATAAATAAATTCTGATAAATCATTATCAGAAAATTTTATAATATTTAACATAGTCAAATATATTTTACATATTTTTTTCCAATCTCTTATATCTTTCTCAAGTTTAATAAGTAAAAAGCTGCACACGCGCCTCAGGTTCGACGGCCGTCTTACGCGATAAATCCCTTTTGTTTGGAAATGATGATGACCACGCGTATCCCCTTCATTAATAATTAATATCAGCGCGAGCGTGCGCTCCGAAGAAGGAGAAGGTAGAAAGACTTCAGATAACGGCGAAAAATCTTAATTACAGATTCGCTGCGTTGCATAATGCTTCGTCGTGACGTCGGCCGTTTTTTTCTCTCTCGTCTTGTCCCGCCGAGAAGAAGCGGAGGCGGTTACCCGCTTATCGATCTCTTATCGAGATCCCGGATCGAGCCTCGTGTCCGGTCACGGGTGGACGCCGGATTTCATGGATACGCGTGGTACGCGCGATCCGCAGGTGTAAAAGGGCCCCGTTTAATTATTCCGAAATGAAGGTACGCTGACGTGCAGTAATTGTCACGCGTCTCTCTTCTTCTTCTTCTTTATTCTCCGGATTTATGCTGCCCTTTGTAGTCGGTTGGGCATTTTTGTGGACTCCGTTCGTTCCGCCTTAACACAATCGTAAAATCGTCGAACAGTCGCTTAAAAAGCGATCCGCGATTTCTCGAACCCAGCTGCTCACGAGAAACACTCTCTCTAAATTAGGGATCATTGCATCGCAGGACGATTTCGTTTGTGATTTATTACAGAGATTAAATACACTTCTTTTGACACTCATACGTTTATCATACGTTTGAGTATGGCACAATTTACCAAAAAATATTTCAAGAACTCACTTTAAATTCTTAGGCTTCTCAAATCTGTACCGCTTTATATATTTTCATTCCTGTCCTAAGAAATTCCTCCGGTCATAAGGAATTTCTAATTAAGCTTAAAATTACAATTATTATATTTATAAACTAATTTAATCAACGAACAATAAGTTTGCAAATTACACCTGCGAATTGCAGTTTTGAGTTTTTGTGATATAACAATTTGAAAAAAGTTATTTTTTCATGTATGGAAAATATATGGAAAAGGCATTTTATTTCGTCTTAATACTGCATTATGTAGAAAGTGCTTTCATACACATGATATTGTATTTATATTTTTATTATATACTGTACTTCAGATCGTACTAAATAAAAAAACTGATATGAAAATGATAAAATACTATATAGCTATTTTCAATTTGCTATATTTTGAAAATGAGAAATCATATCGAAACAAAACAAAATGCATTTTAAAACTCAAGGTTAACATATATGGCACTAACAAAATTTCAAAAAAACAAGCTGCCGATGTCATAAAAGCTCTCAAAATTGTTGTTTTTTGCTCTCTAACGTCGTTTTTCTTAAAAATTGTGACATGATAGTTAAATTTGGAAAATGGATTTGTGTTCGGTAGACAATAATACATTAAAAAAAAAAAAAACAATTTTTCGCAAGCTAGTGTTATTATATCATCTTGCGAATATTGCTTATTAGTCATTAATTCCTCAGATATTTCTCATTCACATATGTATTAAGAATCGTCCAGTTTAGTCTTCATTGGTAGCACTAAGAAATTAAAGATCAAAGAACGCGCACTTTAACGTCTATAAAATCGAAGTACCCGAATCTTAATATAGACACAACTGCATTCACAAAAAATCGCACATCCTGCAGCGCTCTACAGTTCCGGTCATTAATACTCGTACTCGCGCGGAAAGTGAAAACACAAGCAGCCCCGCAGGCCGCGAACAGGTTCCCTAGCGAATTGAAATTCCACACAGCGCGCGCGACGAGGGTGATTTTTAACGGCGATGCCTCTTAATTACCGTGACCAGCGTAAAAGAAGAACGCCATGGAGGAGCCGGGCCCCCGGAATATGCACGGATCACGGAAGACGTCGACGATGACGATGACGACAACGACGACGACGACAACGACGACGACGATGACGTTGACGTTGCACCTGGCCGAACGACCAGGCCAGATGCGTATCTCAAACGAGAGAGCGGTTATTATTAATTCTCTCAGTTTTTTTTTCTTTTTCTATCTCTTCCCCCTTCGCTGCCACCACTCCCACCTCCACCGCCGCCACCATCAAATATACCGCAATTAATATGCACGTCGCGAGAGGCGGTTAATTGGAGAAGCGAGCGAGGTTTTTTTCCCTATCGCGAAACTCAGCGTGACTCGACGAACTCTGTCCTCACAACTCGCCAGCTTGATGTTTATTTAGGTAAATTATATCGGCTGCGTGCTACGCATTTTCTGGCGCATATCTCGTGATGTCAAGGAAAGAAGAAAAATGTCCAATGGCTTGGTAGATGTATCAGTTAACTATTTTAATAATTTATATAAAATCATTTGTATAAAATAATTAAAATTTGATAATTTTATAGAAAATTTTTAATTAAGAAAGCAATATTTATCTCGCAATATTTATACGTAAACATTTATTATTTTTCCATGGGTGTACAAGCAATGAGGAAAAAATTGAAAAAAGTAGCGCGGAAAACACGATTATTCTCATCCTTCCCATCTCGACTCCTAATACCTCGGGTCCTTACATCCCTGCGTATCCTATAGAATGTCTTTTCCTGCTTGCAGGGGTAGCGGCACCGCCCTACCAGAATCTCCGGTCGGCCAGGTCGGCAACAGATGGAGGTGAGTGATTTTTCTGCCCTATCTGCAGCTCGACTTATCTTCCTTACTCCATCTCTTTACTTCTTTCCTATCCTTCCGTATGCGAAAAGAATGCGAAAATAATTCAGTACGGTTTAAGACAGCAGTGGTTATATAACTTGAAGCATTAATTAATGTAACTTTCTCTCTCTACCACACACAACAGATGCTGAAGTAAATAGAAACAAAAATTTGTTAAACATATTTCGAGAAATAACTGTTGAGTTAAAAATGAGAGAACTTTTTCAATTTTTTGAAAAATTATTGTAATTTCGCAAATTTTCATAACACAAATAAACAAAAAAACTATATTTTTTTATTTAAGTTGAAATAAATATTTTATTAGTATTAATATTATAGGTTAATTGGAAGATTATCTAGAAAAATATTTTTAGTTAAAGGTAAAAGAAATTGTAGAACATTTTAAATATAACATTCATTTGAAAATTTTCACTATGAGAATAAAATAATAATATTAAACTAAGATAACATCCCGAAGAAATTTGGAATCTATACTTAAGTTGTAGATGCTATTAGAGAAAATTCCGAAGAATGTAAAAACTAAATCTTAAAATGAATGTTCGCTAAAATGAAAAGGCCGAATGCTTTTCAATGTTATAGCTTTCAACTTTCCGGTGCGAAAATTTTCCAAGGATGCGTAGTCGCTATTGATTCCGGAGGCTGTTCCGCCCTTACGCACCCTCGCGGTCTTTCTCTTCTCTGCTTCCAAGCACGTCGCTCGTTGCCTTTTCCTCAGCTCCTCCCTCAGCATATTTCCCCCTCATTCCTCTATTGCTATCTTCTTCCATCTCCCGCGCTTGTCTCTTCCCCTCATCACCGAAATATCCCAGTTGCTTCTCCTTGCCATGCTTTTATCAATCTACGAAGGGGTTAAAGCTATCCCTAGCTTATAGCTGCTTCCGCGTTCGTTCCACTGATGAAACTTTGTTCGATATCATGAAATCACGCGAAAACCACATGTAATTATCGGAAATCCAATCGTCGATCTAGTAGATTATTCTTTCAGAGTAAAAGCAAGACTGTATCTAAAATATAGAATCGCATGTTTGTTATATGATATATAAAACAAATATGTTTTGCGTCTAATATTTATACGAAATATTTAACATTTTAATATTTTCTATTTGCTCCTTTGCCATAATAATCAACATTCGATATTTCTGCAATACATATTTTTTATTTGTTGAAAGGAATAAACTTGAAAGGAATTTATGAAAAAAAGAAGTAAATTTTATACAAAAGATAGAAAAGTTTCAAAAATTTAAAACCCTTCTCCACGTATTTCAAAAATTATCTACATTGATAAAAAAGATTAATGAGATATAGAATAAAAAATGATGAATACAATTATGAAAAATGTATTTAATGTGGTATAATATTGTGGTACACTTTTTAATTAGCGTTTATAATATTGATTAAAATTTACACAGCAATCAAACGTGCTCAGAAAATACAAAAAATTACGTGAGCATGTACATTTTCTTAAACTTTCAGAAACCTTTAATCATCGCACATACAAAAAAGAATCTTGGAATTTATGTTCAGAGAATGACTATATCTATTTACAATTTCAACGATTATGTTCAACAGAAAAAGCTTTGCAACTGTTACAAGATTCTTTAATAATAGATAATTGAAAAATTCTTTAATTTGATTAGTTTTATAGATTTAGATCCAGTGAGAACTAAAAACAAGAATCAAATATTAAAAAAATCTTACAATAGTAATTGTAAAGTTTCTTTTTTTTTTTTTTTTGCAAAATACAGCCAATACATTTAAAGAGCAATTGCTAGTAATTGCGTGCTTCGAGAAGTCTCTCTTCGGAGAATTTAAAGAAGATAGTTGAACGAGTTTAAGTGAGGAACTATGCGCGCGCACAGAATGCTTCCCTTTCATTTACATCCGCCGGACGATCGACCTTGAACAGTTCTGTCGAAATCGAAGAGTCCTGTTGAAGGCCAGCCCGAAATCCATTAATTTTTATGCGCCCGGAAACCATTTGCCGATCCCACGCGCACTTGGGCCGCACGCTTCACTGATAGCGGTATTTACGGGCCATGCAACTATTAATTATCTTTAAACGTTACCTGAACCTATCCCAACTCCGTTCCAATTACTATCAGGAACAAAGGAGCCGATATGCACTTCGGTAATAAAAAGAATTTTATTTGTCGCTCACATTTACACGTTACTCAATTCCTCTTTACTTTACATTTTCATATAATTAACAACATATTAGAACTGCCAATTATGGTTATCTTTACGTATAATATATTATATACAATATCGAAACAGCTAATTCTAAGCCCCGGAGCGAAAGATTTCATGGCGCGTGGCTGCAAATTCTGATGTGAGGCTAAAACAGGAAGAAATCGCAAACGGCGGAAGACGCTTGTTTTCTGGGGAGCCATCGTGGATTCACGCTCGACCGAGGAGATAATCGATTGGCCATTCAGCGGAATTAGTTGATTGAGACAAGGTGGTCGATATACGTTCTGGCTCACAGTACAGAAACGCGTCAACACGTACAGAGACTTATGAACAAGGGTGACACAAAGGATATTAAAAAAAAGTGTCTTCTCTGTTTCCCTTCTCTTTTGTCTCTCCCTTTTTCTTCTTTCTTTAAACTTGCTTCAAGTCAAGGCGATTCGTTTTTCGCTGAGAAATATATCATTGTGGTGTATTGTCAGTCGTTATTTTATTGTTGGATTTATTCATATTGTTTGAAACGCAATTTAGAAGATGAGATATCATTGAGAGAAATATTTTCAAAAAATCAATTTTATCGTTTTCACTATATCTCGTCGAAAAGGTTCTTAAAGAGAAAGCAATAATATAATCAATCACATCAATCTTCTCCGTAACTAATTGTAAGTATTAGTGAAAGTTTCAAAAACTTTACTCACCGATCGTCTCCAGATGCGCCGTACCGTGAATGATAAATTTTACTTCAAGGATAACACCCTCGTCATTGGCGAAGATAATGACCGGCGGATCGCAGAAACGACAGCAGTACCCGTCGACCTGGCACCCATATACCTGCGGGCGCTCACAAAAGAGAGGACGAGTCCTTCCTTTTCTCTACCTGGACGAACAAAGAGACCCCGTAACGGAATCAACCCTCGGCGAACCGATAATCCCAACAGGCAGTCGTATGTTCGGTCGATTTTCGCAAACCCTGTGCCGACGGATTTGTCTATAGTTGCCGCTAAGCAATTTCGACATTAATGAATCGAACATCCATTTCGCGAAACAATGGGTAACAGTACTTCAAGTCACTCGGTGAAGCTGTACGACGCAACCCCCGGCAGGAGGTCGTAAGTTGATCGGCGAAGGGCTCTTCAGTAGTCGACGATCAAAGAACGCGATATTACGTTCCCCGCGAGATTCGACAAATCGAAATTCAGATTGCCATTGTGCGATGGAAAGGGAAGAGTTTGGATAACACGCACAAGAAGACGAGTTGGACAAAATAGCGGAAAAGACAACTTGATTCTCGAAAGTTTCAATCAGCACTGAGAAATTGATGACTTAAATTTTGCTATAGAGTTAGAGAAACTTTCGAAAATGACATTTATAATGACAGCATATCGATTTTAATCTCCTTAATTTCTTATATATATCTAAATACAAAGAAATTATATAAAAACTCTCGATAATGTAAAAAATATAATAATATAATTGACGATAAGAATAGCGCGTTAAGTGATGCTCAAATTATAGTTCTTTAATTAAATTTAATACATAAATAATACATAATTAAAACAATCATTTGATTATTTAAATTACATATTATTTTAAATTTAATTAAAGAACTATAATTTGCGCATCATTTGTGCTATACTCTCTTGCATATTCTAAAAAGTTTTACAAGAGAAAAAACATACGCCAAAACTAAGTAATATTTACACTCGAATTTTCTTGAGGGTTGGTTATTCTTGAAAAATAAAACTTTAATGAGTTTTCTGCATTAGTCTTTACCTAATTTTAAATCTTAAGCCGTAAGAAACTAACCAATCATAGTCGATTATTTTCACATCCAACTGTGATTGATCAATTTCTTACGGATTAAGACTTAAAGCTTAGGTAACATCTTATTGTAGAAAATCCATAATAATCCACTGGAAATCATTTGTGATTTTATATCTAAAAAAAAATTTACCGTATTAATTTTACCAGTATCTGTTTTTAGAATATAAGATTGCATTTTGGTAGGTAGTTGTGTACATCAAGCCTCTCAGATTAATTCTCAATAGCGAAATGAATGCAGAACACGCGTAATAATCGTTAATATTTTATTACGATAATAATTGCAGGGTTAATATTGGATTCCTGAACACAATAGCACAACAGTATATCCCAATCTTAGTACTCATCAACGTCCACCGAGCGGCGCCTCCACTCGCGGTCAATGACGCGCGTCTTCTGCTATCTACGCATTATCCGGCATGACGCGTATCGACCCCGATTACTCCGGCAACATCTCACCTTGAGTTGTCGCCGGCGAATATGACCGACTCATCCCACTCGTTCGTACAAAGAAATACACGCGAAATACATTGGATTTGTCGTTCACGCTAATAGATTTCGAATTAATCCATCTGATAGATTCAACGGATGAACAGAATTATTCGATAATTAATTTAACAACAAATTACATCGTCCCTGTTCGCTAATTACAAACGATCGGAAAACTTGTGCGAATATAAAGGGAGGAGATGACGCCCGGAATCCCCGCGCTTTTCCGAGAGGAGAGAGAAAGGGAGAGAGAGAGAGAGAGAGAGAGAGAGAGAGAGAGAGAGAGAGAGAGAGAGA